TGGCTTGGCAGGGTTCAAGATGATACGCACTGGTTCAGCACTCAGCATGTGCCCCACTTCATTTGCATGGGTGGACCACAGCTGTGGAGGTACTCGTGCCAACAGTTCCTCTTGCAAGTAGGAAGTGTCAGGTTCAGAGTACTCCTGGGTTAGCAAAGCCACAAGCTCAGTTTCCCTATGTTCTGGTACCTCAAGGTAAACACCATCTGGGCTACAATAAATCACGCATCCCAGTTTACACAACAAATCCTTACCAAGAAGGTTGACAGGTGCACAGGGGCTAAGAAGAAAGGCATGATTTTCAGACAAAGGGCCAATAGAGATGGAGACAGGTTCAGAGACGGGATGTGGGATAGGTTGTCCGCCTATACCGACAGCATTTATAGTTTCAGGAGAATAAGGTAGAAAAGGAAACTCAGCAGCCTTTAGCGTGGAGCGGGATGCTCCGGTGTCGACAAGACAGGAGACAGGTTTACCAGAAATAAGGCATTCAACAAACGGACCAGATTGGTCAGTAGCAAGCAAAGGAGCGATGATGTCACTGTCCCTCAGGCTGTCCTATTCAACACTGGGAAAATTGACAGGAAGTGGAGGTGGGGGCAGGGACTGGGGTCTGGGTCCTTGGCCGGGGCGCTTGGGGCATTCTGATTTCCAATGTCCTTCTTGCTTGCAATAATGACATTGGTTCCCATAGCCTGGGTTTTGTGGGCTCAAGGATCTATCTCTTCCCCTGAATCTACCCGGGCCTCCCCTTCCCCGTCCTCGTCCCCTTCCTCTACCTGGACCCTGCAACTGAGAAATCTGTAAGGCCATTAACTTAAACTCGGCATTGTCTTTAGACCGTTCCAATTTGTTATGAAAATGGTTAGCCGCAGCAAGGACTTCAGTCAAATCTTTAGTTTCCCAGCCAATAATTACTGTTTGAATTTTCTCAGCAATTTTAGGGTTAAGTCCCTGGATGAATGCTGCCACTATTGCTTGTTTAGCATTTCCGACTGGGTTATCCATTCCTGAGTATCGTTCAAATGCCTGTTTGAGGCGTTCCAAATAGTCACTGGGGTGTTCATTTTTGTTTTGTTTACAGGTATTTATTTTGGTCCAGTCTGCCTTTTTTGGGCAAATTGTGAGAACTGCCTGAACCAAAGCATTTCTCTTGTCAATAAAGTCTTGGCCAATCCCTGGGTTTTGATCTGGCCAAGTACAGGCAGCATACAGACGTAGCATAGTTTCCTTGGGCAAAATCGATCGCATGAGCTGATTAATGTCAGCCCATGTTGGATTATAACAATTTATAACAGTCTGCAATTCTTCCTGAAATTTTTCTGGGTCTTCCCTGATTTTGGGGAATTTTTGAGTTAAATTGTAGAGATCACCTGGAGTCCAGGGTGCATGCACGGTTACTATATTTTGTCCATCGGTGCCAATGCCTGGCATTTGTCTTAGGGGGTAAACTTGTGCAGCTCGGGATCTAAGATTGATGGGAGATCTTTCCATGCCTATTCCCATTCTTCTAAATACACCTGTGGTGGGTTGTGACCCAGGAGTAAATTGCCACACTGGTGATGATTGAGTGGCAGATATGGTGGATGAGTCCAGACTATTAAGCTCCGTGGATGGATTTACTGAAGGAGCTTCAGCTAATGAGTTACTAGCCTGGGCTGCAGCCTGATGTTGAACCGGTTGTTGCTGATGTGGGAGTCCCAGGAGAGCAGGGTTCGAACAAAGGTCAAGGATATCCTCTGCTGGCTCCGGTGGTGGGGGCGCCCCGGGCAATGCTGGATACATCGGAGCGGTGGCCGGCGTGTAATTTGGGGGAGCAGCCAATTTCTCCCGAACAGCTTGTAACTGCTGTTTTAATTTTTCTTGAGAGTCTTTTAGGCTCCTAGTTTGAGATTCTGTCCGCCTTTTGGACATTTCATCATACCAATAAAAGAACGCGTCCCACTGGTTTTGTGGTGTTTTGGATCCACGGGACTCTAAAGCCCCTCTTAAGTGCACTATTTTATCCTGATCAAATGTTCCTTCTTGTGGAAAATGCTTCACAGGATCATCCCTAGTATACCAGTTCCACTTATCCAGGTACTTGCAAGCCTCGGGAGAATAGTGTGTGTACATAAAGTACGCCGGAGTCCCCTTAGGGGGGACGGGAACTTGTTTAGACTGACTCGTTCCCATTTTCAGTCACACAGGGAGACGTAGGAGAGGCTTATTTAGGATGTCCGGGCCGCTCAGTGCCTTGCCCCGCAGTTTTTCACTGCCCAGACAAAAGGCTTCTGACCCGACACCGGCTCATAAAATGGAAATGGGAAGGGAAACACAAGAGGAATCCTTTCACTCCTGCTCTCGGCAGAAGCTACTGGGACAAGGGGTTTGGAAAAGACAAAATCACTCAGACGCCCTGTCCACTGGGTCACGAGGTTTCAGCTGGGCCCCCTTGCTTTCGACGCTACCTTTTTTAGGCAGAATCGGGGCGGCTAGACCCAGCCTTAGTCCCAGACCTGGTCAGTGGCTCATTTTTCTAAATGCACACACACACATTTATTCAATCACTGGGAAGCCCTGTCCACTGGGTCACGAGGTTCCAGTTGGGCCCCCTTGCTTTCAAAACTGCCCTGTCAGGCAGAATTGGGGCGGCTGAACCCAACCGTAGTCTCAGACCTGGTCAGTGGCTCATATTTCTAAATACACACACATGCACATTCATTCAGTCAGCCAGACCTCCTCCCCCACACCGCCTTAGTTAATTAACGACAAGCCCGATGTGCTGTAGGATGAAGGTGCTTCATACAGTTTCTCCCTAAATAAAACGTACGTTACCAGACACAAAATGGGATCCTTTACCAGACAGAAAATTTTAGCCGGCAGTAAGGTTCAGACTGACCTGTTTTAACAAGGTTCAGATCCAGTTACCACGGCCAAGTTGGGAGCCTACAGGCAGTCCTCCTCCGAAACCCCAATAGAGATTTTGAATTAGGTCTCTTACCTCTCAAGTTTGGCGCCTCGGGGTTCGGGGGGGGCAGTCTGCGGTCATCCTTTCTCAGCCTGTGTTCTGGATCCGAGTCACGGCACCAGGAATTGTCGTGGCAACACACGCAGCATACTTTTGGGTCAGGTCAGCAGAAGCTTTTATTCAAAAGAAACTACAGCTGTAGGGGGGACTCCAAAGTGACATGGATCTCCCAAGCACTTGGAAGGGGTCCCCCCCCAAGAGCAAAATCAGGAGGCTTATATACTTTTTAACAGTTGCTTACAACTCACGTGATCATATAGTGAAATTAGCATGAAAAGCGGCTATAACATTACTTCATTATTTCTTTGCTGTAATCAGGATGGGAACTAATGGGGGAGGCGAGGTTAGTTCACAAACCTCCTTCTTGCACCTGCAAATCAGAGTTGTACATACTTTTTGCTATCTTCAAGGCCGCGGTGAGCGAAGCAGTTGCAGAGGAGTTACAAAGAACAAACACTTTCTCTTATCTGTTCTACTATACAGAGCCAGCAATTCTCCACAAAGCGGTTATGTCATCTTATAACTAAAATAGTCAAAGTTTAAGGCGCATATTTTTTCTGATTCCACACACTTGTTTTGTGCCTCAGACCTTTCCCTGGAAGCAAGTAGCGGGCACAGCCCTGCTCCTTTGAGGAGGGAGAGCTGCAGCTCTAAGTCCTCCCCTCCCAGAACAGGTCTTGGAGGCAGGAGAGATGAAACACATGGTAGAAAAGCCCAAGGAGAAGCAGCTGGTCCCCACAGACCCCTGACTGCTGGTGAGCCCCAGAAATCCATCATGGGGCTGGACACCCTAGTACCAGATGCTGCTATCAGGACTGCCAGACATCACAGTTGAGCACAGGACAGCAGTCTCACCAATGCCCTTTGGCTTCTGGAGCATGTCGGTCTGGCCAGGTAGAGGGCTTGGCATCATCTCCTCCTGGACCTGCCAGTGCTGTGCAGCAGAGCAGCCCTTGGAGAGCCGCCTTCTTCCTCTATGCTGATTCTGCCTCTGGTCTCCTTGTCCCATTAGAGCAGGAAGCCATTGAGGTCCTGTCCTAACACACATGTCCCGCGTGGGCTTCTCCCAGCAGAGTCTGAGGGGATGGGCCTGACAGCTGGGCCAGAAACCCTGACAGTCTGGCTCTGACCTCCACTGAGCAAGGATCATTAGCCTGGCACAGGGATTTGTCCCTCTCTCACCCCTAGCACTTGGGGTTTGGCAGGAAGAGCTTGTTCTCATAAGGAAACACAAGGGCCAAGGTCCAGTCAAGCTCACAGCCCCATCGCAGTGGAGGGAATAGCAGCATTTGGCCTGTGCCAGCAGGGCAGGGACTAACCTAGAGTTTCTCTTCCCTGCACAGGAGGCGCCTGGCTGCTGAGCAGACCTGAGGAGCACAGTCCTAAGGCAGGGCCAGCAAATCTGGAGCCAGCCCAGACTTCTCTAGGGAGTTTGGGTGAGATGGAGTCTCTGACATCTGTGGAAGAACAATGGCTCAAGAGCCAGGGATGGCCCCAAAAGCACATGGAGAATAAAGCAGGGAAGCAGGCTCCATCTCTCCTTGGGTGTGAAAGTGGAGAAGGGAGCGAAGCCAGAGGGAGCCCTCGGCACAGGGAAGAATTTGTGGAGCTGAAGAGCCATGAGGGAAAGCTCTACCAGAGGGACACCCTGCATCTGAACCAAGCAAGCAAGGAGGGCCTCGGAGGGAAGTGGGAGCTCCCCGCCGAGCCCAAGGGCAGATCCCACCCCTGTCCTGAGTGCCAGAAAAGCTTTAGCTGCCCTTCTCTCCTGGCTTTGCACAGGAGAAGCCACAATGGGGAGAAGCCCCACCTGTGCACCAAATGTGGGAAGGACTTCAGCTGCCTCTCGACCCTGGATCAGCACTGGTGTCTGCACACAGGGGAGAAGGCATATCTGTGCCCTGAGTGCGGGAAGAGCTTCACCCGGTCCTACAGCCTGGCCCAGCACCAGCGCATCCACACAGGGGAGAAGCCATATCAGTGCCATGGGTGTGGGAAGAGCTTCACCCGGTCCTACCAACTAACCATACACCAGCGCATCCACACGGGGGCAAAGCCACATCAATGTTCTGTGTGTGGGAAGAGTTTCATCCACTCCTCCAGCTTGACCAAACACCACCGGATCCACACAGGGGAAAAGCTACATCAGTGCTCTGAATGTGGGAAGAGCTTCACCCACTCTAGCCTGGCCCAGCACCAGCGCATCCACACAGGGAACAAGCCACATGAGGTCTGTGAGTATGTAAGTGCTTCAGCCACTCCTCCAACCTGGCCAGACACCAGCATATCCACACAGGAGAGAAGCCAGGTCAGTTCTCTGAGTATGGGAAGAGCTTCACCTAGTGCTCCAACTTGGCCCAGCACTAGCGCATCTACGCAGGGGAGAAGTCCCATTAGTGCTCTGTGTATAGGAAGAGCTTTACTCACTTCTTCAGCCTGGCGAATCACCAGCATAAGTACACAGGAGCAGAGCCACAAAAACGCTGCAAGTGTGGGAAGAGTTTCATCCAGTCCTTCCACCTTGCCCAGCACCAGCGCATCCACACAGGGGAGGAGCCACATTATTGTTCTGTATGGGGGAAGAGATTCAAAAAGTCTTCCATCCTGAGGCGGCACCAGCACCTCCACATGACAGAGGGGCCACATTGCGGATCTATGCGTGAGAATATTTTCCAGGACTCCTGCACCCTGGCCAAACACCAGTGCATCCACACTGGGGAGCACCCATAATTCTGCCAGCAGTGCAGGGAGGGCTTGGGGATGCCTGCCTGCTCAGCTCCTGCCTCCTGCTGCTGGAGTGCAGAAAGATTTCACGCAGCCTTTGGGCCTTGTGGGGCACCCCAGAACTAGAAGGATCCAGAGGCTGGCTTCCAAGCGTTGATTGTGGGGGAGGGGCCAAGAGGAAACACTGGGCAGAGGCCAGCCCAGACACTGGGGAAACCTGTAAGGAGACTATCTTTGTATCAACTTTGGAGCCTGTGCTTTTGCCATCGTTCTAAAAGCAGCCAGTGTTCCTGGGGCAGAAGCACCTTCCCAGTAGGGTGCCCTCCCCCAGACAGGTGGCTCCAAATGCCTCTAGGACCTGTCCTTGGCCCTCCTGTGCCCACTGGGGCCTGCAAGGAGGTGCTGCTGCCACCCCTCAGCCCATCTTGGCATGTTTTGCTTTTCAGTTTCTCTCCAGAGCTCTGCACCCCTGGGTGCCTGCCACTTCTCTGCTTTCCTGCCCTTCGCAGCACTCTGTAATGCAGCCTGTGGTCAGAAAGCTGCAGCACTGAACACTATATCCCTGTGTCTGGTCTCCTAACCCTCTCCAGAGCTGTGAGATGGGAACCAATCAAGGCCCAGAACCTTTCCAGGGCAGATCTCCCTGTGAATTCCCAGCCCTTTCCCTTTGAGGATTCACCATGGTCCAAGGATTGTTGTAAACACTTCGGCGCAGAAGTTGGTCACGCTCAAGGCCTCTTTCCCCTGTGTACTACTGTGCAGCAAGGCCCCTGCCCTTTGGAAGAAGCCTGTGGCCTGGGGCCAGTAGAGTGCCTTTTCTGGAGGAAGGAGGGGCAGCCTGAGGCAGGTCCTGCCTCCTGGTGAAGGGCCCGGAGTATGAGGACATCCTGAGTGAATATATGGTTTTCATACGACTGGGAGCCACCCAGAGCTCAAGTTGCCTCTGTCTCCTCACTAGAGAGTGCAGGGCAGACACACATGGGTGCAAGCACACGCTAGACTCACTGGTCCCATTTCTCCTTCTGGTCCAGGAAAGCCTGCTGTCTCTTGTCCAGAGCCAAACGTTAGCAGGGCTGCATCCCCTGCAGGGAGCAATAACTCCTGAAAGGAATCCTAGAAAGTTGGGGTTGGGAGGGACCTCGGGAGGTCACATCTAGTCCAGCCCCCTGCTCCAAGCAGGACCAGCCCCAACTACATCATCCCAACCTGCTTAGACAAAACCTTGGCTTTGAAAACTTCCAAGGATGGAGCTTCCCCCACCTCTCTAGGTAACCTGTTCCAGTGCTTCACCACCCTCCTAGTGAGCCCATTGCTCCTTGTTCTGTCATCTGCCCCCCCTAAGAACCATCCAGCTCCAGCCTCTCTGCAACCCCCTGCAGGGAGTTGAAGGCTGCTATCAAATTCCCCTTCAGTCTTCTCTTCTCCAGACTCAATCAGCCCAGTTCCCTCAGCCTCTCCTCACAAGTCCTGTCCCCCAGTCCCCAGCCATTTTCCTTGCCCTCTGCTGGACTCTCTACAACATCTCCACATCCCTTCTGTGTGGGGGGACCACAGCTGGACACAAGACTCCAGATGTGGCCTCCTCAGTGCTGAATAGAGAAGAATCACTGCCTTCCAGCTGCTGGCAGCGCTCCTACCAATGCAGCCAGGATACCATTAGCCTTCTTGGCAGTAAGGACACATTGCTGGCTCCTGTCCAGCTCCTTGTCCCCTGTCCCTCCAGGTCCTTTTCTGCAGAGCTGCTGCCCAGCCAGTTGCCCCCAGCCTGTCCCGGTGCAGGGGATTGTCTCATCCTAAGTGCAGGACTTTGCGCTTGTCCTTGTTGAACCACATGAGATTCCTTTTGGCCCAATCCTCCAGTTTGTCTTGATCACTAATCCTAGCCCTGTCCTCCAGCATATCTACTGCTCCCTCCAGCTTGGTGCCATCTACAAACTTGCTGAGGGTGCACTCTGCGCCATCTTCCAGCTTGATGAAGACATTGAACAAAACCGGCCCCAGGACCGGGGCACTCCATGCAAGACCGGCTGTCAACTAGACATCGAGACATTGATTACTACCCTCTGAGCCCGTGCTTCAGTCAGTTTTCTTTCCCCCTTACAGTCCATTCATCCAACCCATACTTCCTTAGCTTGCCTGCCAGAATTTTGTGGGGGACCATATCAAAAGCCTTGCTAAAATCAGTGTATATAACATCCACCAGTCTCCCTGCATCCACAGAGCCAGTCACCTTGTCACAGAAGGCAATTGGATTGATTAGACATGAGTTGCCCCTGGTGAATCCCTGCTACTTGATCCTAATCACCTTTTTCTCCTCCAAGTGCTTCAAAATGGATTCCTTGAGGATCTGCTCCATGATTTTTTCCAGGGACTTAAGTGAGGCTGACTGATCTAGTTCCCTGGATCCTCCTCCTTCCCTTTCTAAAAATGCCTGTGTGGGGGGTGTGAGGCTTTGACATGAGGGTGGAGTGGACAGCCAGTGGTTTGGGGGTGACCTGGGCATAGCTGTGCCTGTGTTCTGCTCGGGGTCGTTCCAGGCATCTGGGCTTTGCTGGCTGCCACGCGGAGCTGGCTGCGAATCCTGGCCTCAACCTGCTTCTGCTACGTGTGTCAGGGGGTGTCCTGTTTTTAAGCCTTCCTCCCAGGCACTGGGTGTGTGGTCATGTCCTGAGCCTTTCTGGATAGGCTGGGACTAGCCTCTACATAAGAATAGTGTTGAACTGACACTAGCGTATTAATCTTTTAATTAGATGTATTATTATCTAGTTTTATTTAGGGGTTATTGTTATGCAATGCAAAGCTTGGACCCCACTTATTATTGCTTAGCATAAATAGAATAGTTATTTTATGTCTAGTTACAAATCAAGTTATTTGTCTATACTCTGATTATTATATTTTATATTCTTTCATAACATTTGGATGCATGGATGAATGAATGTAGAATCAATGGTAAAAGCAGAGCAAGTTATGAATACGTGTCAATAAGCAAGTTACCAAATGGCAGATCATGCTGAAGATGGCTAAAAAACCAGTTGGTGCCAGACGAGGAAGAGATCATCAGCAGAGACCAGCTTAAAACAAGGCCTGGACAGCATCCCAAGGCTACAGGACTCCCTTTGCGATGGGCACGGCCTACTCTGTGATAACAGAGGAACGCTGAATGATGCTAGTGCCTGGGGCAATGATGCATAAGCTTGACCTCATGCCAGAATGGAAAAGTACTCTAGTCTCAAACAAAGACTTGCAATCTCTATGAAAGAAGAGACTTAACAGTATGAAGGTGGGAACTCACTCTGCAAACTTCACGGAAGCATGGGTGTGTCTGTACACCTTGCTTCCAATGGGATCTCAATATGCCTAGGCTGGCCACCTAGAGCAAATATTGAGCAACTGACTTTGGTAACTATAACACCTGCAGAGAGAACGAGAATGAATGTCTATATGTGTGTATTGTTTTAATGCTGTTGTAGTCTCAATAAACACAGCAAATTGCTTTGTCCCTCCTGATAGAGGTCCCACATTGTTTGTAAATACAAGCAGTCCTCAAACTTACGACACAACTGGTTCCTGAAAACTGTGTCTGAAGTTGAAATGTAACTCGGAACCGATTTTTCCCATAGGAATCAATATTATAAATGGGGGATTGGTTCCTGAACCAAGGCCTAATACCCTATTTTCACCAAAAATGACCCAGAATTTTCAACTCAACCAATTATAAATGAGTAATATAGCTACAATCATGTATTTATGTTGTAAATAGCAATCATATTGATTTGGAAGGACTTCTTTGAGGTGACTTTGCTGGACTTTTAGAAGGGCTCTTGGCTGGACTCTTCTCAGGAGTCTTGGCTGCAGGTTTTTCTGGAGTCTCATCTGCTTTCTTAAAGAAAATGTCCAAGGAAGTTTGGACAGACGTTCTCCAGGGAGATGGGTGATGCAGCGAACTTGTTCAATGGTGTGGCGTGGCATCGGATCAAGTGTTGTTGTAAAGTCGAAACTCACATCAAAGTTGAAACGGGGTCAATTTATAAAGGTTGTAGGTGTGAAATATAACTCAAAATGTTGTAAGTCGAGGACTGCCTGTATAATACACGCTTTGTGAGTATTACTATAGTAGTAGTTGTTGGGATTATTGCTATCACTGCTACTGTTATTGTGACTAGTGGTGTTGTTATTTATTGCAATAGTATGAATCACAATAATAATACTATAGCTATAAGTACTGCTCTATTTATGCTAGCAGTTGTGCTAAGACTAGTAACAGTAATGTTACTACTACTACTGCTTTTTCTCTTATAATAGAGTAATGGTAATAGGGATACTACTAATGTTACTATGGCATTATTATTACTACTATTTTTGTATTATTATTATTATAGCAGTAGTAGTAAAAATATTATTTCTATGCCTATTGGTATTATTCTTAATATAACCATATTAAGAATTGCTATTCCTATTGCTATGATTATTACTGCTAACACTATAGCTGTTAACATTAATATTCCTACCAGACAGATTCTGGCACCACTTCCTTACCCTGCTCAGCTGTCCATCAGGACAAAGGTTGGTCCAAAGACTGTGATCATGGCTGACAGTGGGTCTCCTCACCCAGAAGGCTGGAGGTGTCCTGCTGTGCCCCAGACATCCCCTCCAGGCTTATCCTGCACTTGACTCTGGTTCCTGGAACCGTGGAAGAGAAAAGGTAGCAGCTAGAGGCCACTGGAGCTGGAGGATCAGCGAAGGCCCCAATATTTGGAGGCAGTCCGGGCTGTGGGGAATGTCATCAGGCGGAGCACAGACTCCCATGAGTCTCCAACAGGGTCCAACCCCCTTTGGTGAATCAGAACAGAATTGTTTCAACACTTTTTGGCCCTGCAGCACTACTCTTGGGGCATATTTCCAGCCTTGTTGTGGCATCATGTGGATAGGAAGCAGTAAAACCAAGGCTATGTTGATGTGGGATTGGTGCCAGTCACTGGCTGCCATTTTTGATACTGGAGGTCATGGCACATGGTGTGTTCTTAGGCATCCTTTGGCAATAGTTTGGTCTGTCTCCAATGTCGGCTGATGTACCCCTCCATGAGGTAACACGTGCACAAGGCTTTAGGGTGGGGATGTCTTGCTGAAGGCATGGCCGCCTCTTTCAGGCGAATGGCTTTGTCGCAGCTCGGATGGGCATTGCTGGGCAGAGAGGTGCAGCTTGATATTGCAAGGGAAATCGAATCTGGTCATGTTGAAGCCTTTTAGTCAGGACTAATCAATGTGGGAACAGGAAAATATTGCAGGTGTGTGAGGCTGTGCTATTATAAAGCTTCGAAAATGTATAACATTCCTGGCTGGAGAAGCCACGGGCCCAACCTGCGGACATGTTTCTGGAGGATGCAGCACACACAGACAGCCCACGGCCTCAGGACCAGCAACCTTGTGGACCCAGAGAGGAGCCCCTGCCCAACCCTGAGCCAGGTGAGTGTCCAGGTGCTGGCTGGAGCGTGGGTCTGGGTGCTGCAGTACCTGTCCTCCATCTTCCTCACTCCCATGTGCTGAAGGCTCTGGCTGCCGCAGTCACAGGCCCATACAAGAGAGGAGCAGATCTTTCCCCTGCCAGCAGCACGAGGCCTGACCTGTGCCTTCTCTTCCCCCCGCAGGTGCAGGGGCCCTGGGCAGAGCTCATCAGCAACCTCCTGAAGAAGGGCCTGCAAACATGGAGCTGCCGAGGGGGAGAGGGGCGCCCTGAGCGGGGCCAGCTGCAGAAGGGGCAGGGCAGGCCAGCAAGGCAGGGGGAGAGCACGGAGGTGAGCAGGGCACCAGCTCCAACTGCAGAGGGGAGTGCAGCTGGGGCCACACCTGGGAGGAGAGGGGCACTGTCAAGTGCTTAGGGTGTGGACAGCTGGGAAGCCACAAATCTCTGGTGACAGAGGTTGCAACTGCACCCAGCCAGTGTTTGACAGAGCTTGCTCTGCGGTGCCGATAGCTAAGGGTGCTGACACAGGAAGGCTAAGCACATGAAATGTAATGAGCCGAGCCAGTGCAGACACGTGGTCCCCTACATCCACAGCTGCACCCATGTCAGTGAAAAAGGGCGGATTTTGCACCCCATTGTGTCATGGCCCAGCCTGCAGAGAGCTGTTGTTCAGTGATCCTGGAGAGGGTGGTGGGGGCTGGAGGCAGCTGGAACAGGAGACGCTGATGGGGAAACGCTTGTGCCTGCAGCTCCAGGAGGCCTTTGAGG